TAGAAGTGAAGTTGAGGACTTTGGAGGTTGTCCTCCTTCTTTGCTATTTCATCCACATGCAACTGTACAACTGGCAGCAAAACTATGGCGTTATTTTTGTGCCACTACTCTGAGTGCACGTAAAACAAATTTGCAGGTGCAAGTGTTGCATTTAGTGGAGAAATTAATTTTGAGCGAAGAAAAGCTGAATTTGAGTGAACAAAACTCATAGCTGCGTGCAAAAAATGTATTTCAGTGTTTGCTATTATCCACACACACACAATAGCAGCCCCTCTCGCTCAGTTTTTGCATTTGCGCTCGCTCGCAATGTGTTGCTCGCGCTCTCAACATTTCTGCCTGTGCACGTTCAACTCTTTCTGTACACTGTTATATTTGTGCCACAAAACCAGCCAATCACAGACTTGGATGCAAAAAACTCTGATTGGATGATTTGGTCTCCAATCATCTCGAAATGATGAAATGCAATATCCCAGAATCCATTTCGTCCAAAGCTCAAACGAGGCAGTGGCGGAGGAACACAGAGTGGCAGAGTTTGAAATATTACTCTTTCTGGGTCACAAAATAAACTTTTAAGATATTTTCATGCGAGAATGGTGCTGTGTAAACTTCAAATACCTGCTCGATTTATCAAGACATCACATATTTGCAAAAGTGGTCTAACATTTTTTAAAAAATAAATTTCTGCTCAAAATGCAACACTTGCACCTGCAATTTTTTTTTTTACATGTGCTTAGAATAGTGGCACAAAAATAACGCCATACAAACACCAGAGCTGATTTACATGGCGTTTCCATGATTGGTATTTGCGACTCATGAATCTGGTAAAGTTGACTAACTCGTATGTCACTGGTGTTGGAAACTTAGCTAACATCAAGTTTGTTTTAATATAGCTTCATGAGTCAAACTTTTATAATTGGAAAGCATGTCCCAGCTATCTTCTTGAAATTTTTCCGCTGTGGCATTTTCAAGCATTTGATATTTTATTTTGAAATCAGTCACTACACATATATAATCTGTAAGGATTTGTAAGTGTTTGAAAAGCTTACTAACTTCTAAAATCTATATAGATAAAATCTGTTAATCCTGGTGCCAGTTTATATTGTAAGCTTATTGCAGATTGATTAACATACATAGGATGAGTGAGGGAAGGACTATGTTTTCAATATAACTTTGCTAGGAAGTTAAGAAGAAAGAAATAACCCATCTTTCTATTTCATATTAAAATCCTAAAAAATGTAAATTCATTAAAAGCAATGTCCAATAGAGTAACCTGGAATTTACCTGCTAACCGTGTTCTCCATTAACTACTGAAATATTGTTCCTCGTGGTTTTTGACATGTGATTTACCTTCACAGGTTACACCCGATTGCCACTTTGGGTTCTCCCTCAGACTATTTTTGCCTGAGAGGCAACCAGGCTGGAATTAAAAGATTTCACAGGAAAATTCCACTTCCTCTCTCACTCCATCACTGCTTCCCAGGCCATAAGAGAGCAAAACCTAATTAGACAATTCTGCCTTAAAATAATCAGAAGTACTTTTATACATGGTTTGCTGCTTAAATATGCAGGGGCTGGGTGTACTACTGCAAACCATGGCCCTGTGGAGGCATGGAGTTCCTCGTTACTGTTTCAGAAGACAATCTGCCAGAGCAGGGTTGCTTGGTGATGACATCATCCATGCATCAAATGTAAAAGCCTGGCATAAAGATGGCTCTGATAAAAACATGCTTCAGCCACAGTAAGGCCTCTGTATGGCACCATTATTCTCTTTTGAATGAACAAAGTGTTCATCGTCTTCACTAGAAGTGTTCGTCTTCTAGTGTAGTCAGCCGGATGTCCTGTGCATGCTTTACACTTTAACCATGAGTCTGATTTGACATTTCTGCGCATGTAGTGAAAATTAAGGATTTTGTATCTGACAAACACAAGAAAAATCAGGGAAGTGGTTGGCACTGTGGTGAATGTGCCTGAGTATAACTCATTTAAATATACACTATATGTAGGATATAAATTGCAACAGAATAACCAGATAGTTTTTCTACATGACACCATTAAGCCTCATTGCCATGGCATAAATCACCTTACTCAACTTTCCTCTCTTTTGTTACAGTTTACCTTTTATTGTTGTGTTCCACAAGTGTAAAAACTATATATGTATGTCATGTTAGTCATACCTTACTGTATGGGGGTTGTTAAATTGCACTGACTCTGTAAATACTGCACATAATGAAGAAAATGTTGCATAATACATCTTATATAATTCACTTTGGTTACTTTAGTTAACATGAAAGTAGACCGTGCACTATATAGGGACATAGAGTAGACAGAATTTTAATTGCATTAATCTTGCTTAATTAACCTAATTTCTGCTCTGCTTTAAAAGGTTTGGCAGCAGTTTAAAAACATCTAAATATTAATTTTTTAATGAGGATCTTTTGAAAATGACAGCTCACACTGAGTTTGATTTATCCCCAAATTGCTGCATTCATTATTAATTACCAGAAATTATTAAGAAGTTTGTAACTCACTTTAATTGGCAGGACAAATCTACATTTTGTACATATTTGTAAAAATTACCAAAATATTTAGCACCATGACCTGTTAATAATAATTCTACACATGACAGAGTGCCAAAGATTGCACAAAAAGCATCATGCCACAAACTTTGATATTCCTCAAAGAAAAACAAATGTTGCAAATGTTCTGGACTTTTTTTCCCCGTGCAAGTTACCAGCATTAAAGCTGAGTTTTAAATTAATTCCCCTTCTCCTGAATCCAGACTGGAGCCTATGCCAGCTGTGATAGGGCGAGAGGCAGGCTGGATAGGATGCCAGTCTGTAACAGGGCTAACACTGAGAGATAGCCATTTTACGGGCAACGCCATGCATGTCTTTGGACTGTGGGAGAACGCCAGAGTACCCAGAGAGAACACACACAGACAAGAAGAGGACATAAACAGAAGTCTACAAACAAACACCCCAGACTAGGTTTGAACCCAGGACCTTCTCATTGTGAGGTGACAGGGCTAAACACCATACCACTGTGCTAAGGCTGAAGCGCAATGAGGTCATGAGGAATTGTATCAGAGATTGAGCTATTTGAAATGTCTTTCAAAAGGGTGAAATACACAAAGAGAGCTTGGATTGGACAATGCTACTGCAACTTATTTTATTTGAGTGAAACATTTATGTAAATGACAGGCAGAGAGTTGCAAGAGCTAAGAGGTGTAATGCAAGAAGTAGAGGTATTTGAGTTTAAAGCTATATAGTAGATGAGATTAAATAGCAGCACAAGTGAAATGGAAGAGTTACAATTGAGACCTGCTCATCTGTACCACTGACAATGGTACTAACATAAAGACCGAAGGTGGAGCTGGAGGCAGCAGAGCTGAAGATGCTAAGATTGGGATTGAGCGGGGTTGACAGGATTAGAAATGAGTACATGAGAAGAAGAGCTCACGATCTGATAACAAAGTTAGTGCAAGGTGGAGCTGGTGTGCAGAAGAGAAGTAGTGGATATATTGGACAAAGGATGTTGAATATGGAGAGACCAGGCAGGAGGAACAGAGAAAGGCCACAGAGAAGATTCATGGATGTAGTGAAGGTGTCATGACGCGCTGTGAGGCCAGCAGGATAGGACCCAAAATGCAGGACTGAGACAGAATTAAACTTGAAGGCAGCTTTATTGGTGGGTTTACAGATAACAAGACTAAAACTGAGAAGACACTAGGCTGGCAGAACACACAGCATTGAGAGAGATCATGACAAGGAACAGAAGGAAATGCAGACAATAAAAACAAGGGAATCAGGGCAAAGAGGAAACACCTGGGGGATACAGCTGGACATAATCTAACTGACGAGACAGGGGAAGCAAAACTGAACATGATGCACACAGGACATGTGACTATCAGAATAAAACAGGAAGTAGGAAAAAGAGACGCAGACTCAGACACACAGCTTGACGTGGGAATACAATAGCAGACACATGGCAGACGGACATGACAAAGCTGAAAGAATGAGAGAGCCAGGAAGCTGAGACAACAGAGAGTGAGCTGGAGAGTTAGGGACAAGTAAGACAGAGAGGGAGACAGATGCAGAGAGGGAGCGAGAAGGGAACAGAAAAAGAGCGTCATTATAGACAACACACCGGGGATGAAGGGGAGGACACAGCAAGGAGAGACTAAGACAGAGCGGGCACAGAAGGGAACGAAATTAAACAAGAACTAGAAACATAACAAAACCCAAAGACTCTCCAAACTAAACTTTAGTATCTCAATAATCTGCAAGAAATGAACAAAAGACTAAGCAAACTTAAAACCCAGAAGATGGATATGAAGAGTGCTGATGTGCCAAATGAATGAATGATTGAATGAGTGAATACCTGCTTGGGATGATTTTGGAGAGTGTGTGAAAATGTCAGACAGACTAAAATTTGATCTATTTTACATTTTCAAAACTTGCTTAACAGTTTGTAAGCAAATGAAAATATTTCAGCTGTCAAAAAATGTGGAAACCGTACAAGTCAGTTTTTGTGAAGAAAGCGCATGTCTTTGTGACACTCTGCAATCAAATGAAAGGAGCACGTTCATAGTGCAGATCCAGTAGAAGGAGGTGACTCCCAACATCTGGGAGCTGGCTGAAAACTGGCAATTTAGTGGGAGCAACAATTTTAGCTGTGCCTGTAAGTGATAGACACAGCTATCGCACTTGTTGCTCTGCTTCCATGTTATTTTGCAGATTAACAGTGCTTTAGTATCTTTGTTTAGAAATGGCTCTAAACTAAAGTATAGAGAACGTCAGTGTCAGCACTATGTGATCCCTGCATATTTATATCTGAGTCGTTCAAAGGCTGATGTTGCTTTAACATTCATTCGGTGTTCCTCTTCTCTCTTCTCTTCATTCACCTCTCACCTTCTTTCCTTTCCTTCATTTTCCTTATGAAATTCAATCCAACCATCCTTCTCGCCTCCGTGTCCTCTTCCCGCTTCGCCTCTTGGCCAGGCCGGGCCAGTCTGCATGGCAAGTCCTCCCTGCGGATAGAGGATGTGCGTTCAGACGACCACGGCTGGTATGAGTGTAAGGTGCTGATGTTGGAGCAGCAGTATGACACCTTCCACAACGGCAGCTGGGTGCATCTAACTGTTAACGGTAAGAAGCATCTGACATCATGCATTATTCAGGCGGTTCAGTGTAAAGCCCGTGTGAAACAATAACTGAATAGACAGTACAAGTACAAAGTCATACCTTTGTTGTGTATGTGTGAAATATTATTACCTTCTTATATAGACTTTTTGACAGTCTTTGAAGGAATTGTGCTACACTTGTCGATGGAAATCCAAGATTTCAAATTGTTCTTGAGCTGAAGAAAGATGCACACTTAACACAAATTGATACAAATGACTGTCTCTTGACATTCACAAACTCAAACTCAAAGGCAGACAAAGTAACAAAAATGATTCTGCTTTTCTTTATGTCTCAGAAATAAAACAAACAGGTTTAACATAAAAATATGAAAACATTTCTAAAGAGATGCACACTTAATACAAAGACATGTAAAAGAAAATACCAAAGACAGGCAAAGCAAACTGGAACTAAGACTCACATAAAAAACGACTGAAAAAGGCACAATGCAGTCAAAACAACTATGACAAAAGTACAGAGGTACAATGAGACACAAATGGATGAAATGGAAAAACAAATTGAGCAGAAATAGAAACAAACTGAATAGATCAACCCTCAAAGATGCAAAATAATGAATGCAAATCGATAAGTCTTTTAGATTATTATTTCTTAGCCTGTGGATGCACTGAACACATAAAAGAGTGTTTGCATAACAGATGCTGAAATGCCTAATAATGTAGATTCTGTGAATAGGCTGCATGTGCTACATCAACACAAGTGTTAGATGTAAACCTAATAAAGTATTGTAGTACTGTAAACAGGCCACTTTGAAGATATCAATTTTAAATCTTTTATTTTAAAGGTACAGTCAGTCATTCTATTTGATTAGTTCATAGAAGAAAAGATCATATTGTCCCCAAAAATATACCAATAATAGGCATCGGTCGCTCTCAGGAGCTCAGTGAACTCCAGCATGATACTGTGGTAGGATGTGACCTGTGCAACAAGTCCAGTCCTTGCTACTAAATATTCCACAGTCATTTGGTAGAGATATTTTGTGATATTATAAAAATCACAAAACGAGGTCTGTGGATGCTGAGGCACAGAGTTTAAAATCCAGCAAGAAACTTTTTGATGGCTACCAAAAACATCTGGTCAAGGTGACACTTAGCCTGATGTTAGTGAGGGTGTGTGTTTGTACTTTAGACTGTGTTTGTCCTTTTGATCATGTGTGGATTAAAAAAAATCCAAAATAAATGTTATGTTGTGCAGCAATTCTTGTTTTTTAGTCATTAAAGATGTCTGCTTTACAGTTAAAAGAAAATCATTAAAAGCCATTCCTCCAATCATTAGGAGGATGCGTACTCGTATTAATTCCTACTTCTAATTACTTCATGATATATTTTTGTTCTGGTTACAGCCTAATATATACATATGCAGTCCCTTGTTACGTTAATATATATACATATTTATGCACTGATCTATAATTATTTAACGACAACTATCTAAACATATCCATGCATTCTCTTCCACTTATCCTTATCAGGGTTACGGGTGGGGCTAGAGCCAATCCCAGCTGCTATATTTAACATCCTACCTCATCTATATGTTAAAAAACTCAGAAAAGCAGGGCTATGCATTGATTAAAAAAAAAAAAAAGAGGTATATAATATATCGCCTCTCGCCCTATGACAGCTGGGATAGGCTCCAGCGCCCCCCGCGACCCTGAAAAGGATAAGCGGAAGCGAATGGATGGATGGATGGATGGATGGATAATATATAATTAGATATATTAAAAATAAATCAAATCACAGCTGAAAGACAGGGTGAAGGTGGTGTATTAGCAAAACAGCTGGTTAAACTTTGTAAATTTATTCAACCAAGTGATTTCTCAGCTTCTCAACTATTTTGAAAGTTCTGGCTGAGCCTGCAGTAGATCAACTTGCTTGTTTTATTAAAGCAGAGATTGTAGGAGCCGAAGCCATCTGTCCATTATCAGGGTTTTCTTTCCTCACGTGCTAATGGAATTAATGAAAACGTTCTGACATTGCACTTTAACTATTCTACATTAAACATGTTGGCCAAGATGACCAGTAAGAGAAAACCTATTTGTTACAATGATAATTCACAGAAGCTCCTTTTCTTTCTAATGCTAGCTCTGTTTCCACAGCATTGTTAATTTTGACACAAATTTTGATGTAGTTTTAATAGTGTTTTTGCTAACATGTTATTTAGGTGCAATCATAATTTAATAATTTAATCATCTAAATTCTTTTAGTTTCAGTCTAGTCAACTAAATTGCACAAGCCTGTCACAGACAAAACTAAAGTTGATTCAGCTGAATAAAAATATAACGTCTTAGCTTGTCGTGTTTTTACTGATAGTTCCTGCACACGTTTCATAAAGCGTCTCATTTCCCTTGACATTAAATATATAATGTGTCCATATGTTTTCTCTTCTTCCCAAGCACCGATATTTTGTCATGTTTTTGTGAGAAATGGGGAGCATTGGCATTAGCTAAGAGTTGTGACCACAATTTGGCAATAATATAAAGAATAGTTGCAAACAGGTGAGAAACCTTATGACTGTGGTGTTTAAGATCATTATGGAAACACATTTTCACTTTGATTTTAACTGATGTCTCTTTTAATTTTTTATACTAGGCAAGCACCGCCTTGCTTGTCCTGATGGAACGCCACTGGGGTGGATGTGAAAAATGTGTGGGGAACGTTAGAGCATATGTGTTCAAATACCCAGGTTTAAAAAACACATGAATTCCCTGAGCTCCGATACTAGTTATTATCAAAATGCATTGTGCAAAATATTAAGCTAGCAAACTCTCATTTTTGTTTATGTCTGTTTCCATAATGATTAGTCCTTCCCCTTTTTAAGATGGATTTAGCAGTGCTTAGCCTAATGGTGGAGGGAAAAATAATCTAATAGCAGGGAAACGTAGGGCTGGCACTGAACACTTCAAAAGATAAACACTGCAGAAGGTTGCAGGGTTTTGCTAATTATAAGCAATTGAGTAAGCAACTTGATAATATTGCTGAATCAGATTTTCGGTCACATAGCCAGTAAATACATATGTCAAATGTACTGTGCAATAGACATTACATCTCAAATAATATGTAATGAACATTGTGGTGAGAATAAGGCACGGCGGGACCACAGATCATCATTCAGAGCCATCTTTATTGCCCTACTCACCACAACAACACCACACACACCTGAGTCCCCGTGTTTTAACCCAGCGGGCGTGATTACGGGCAGACCACGCCCCACCACAAACATTTTTACAAATGAAGATTTTAGGGTAAAAAAAATTGATTGCACAGCACTTTCTATATCTGTGTCTCTGCTGCCTGTAGTAGCCATAGAGCATCACTAAAATACAGTTCTGCTATAATTCATAGTCTAACAAATCAGTCAGAATTTGGAGAGCTGACATGATTCTATAGACTACTAGTTTCACCTAGGCAACAGTCCAGAAACCATACATATCCTTCTGTGTCACAAAGATGTAATAGAAAAAAGTTCTCACATTTGAGAAACAGGAGATGTTCTGTTTTCTACTTGTCTAAAGTGATTTGATTTCAGCCATTTGAAAGAGTTAAAACATAAAGCTGTACTGGGATTGTTAATGTTAATGTTGTGGTTCAACTGACAGTATTTGTGGTTTCTGATTGGTTACACTGTGGCTCTTTTGTAAGAACTTGACTTGAAAAAGTTGCGCAGAGCACTGCGTCCCCTCTTGTACATGCAGTGTCACAGATTTGCTGCACTTCTAGAAAAGAATACCAGACAAACTCCTGCGCACAAACCAAGCTGAGTGTTAACACTCACAGGGCTTCACAGATGAGAATATTCTTGCCTTCATGTGGCAGTTCTAGCACTCGTCAACTCACTTAATCAGACAGCATATGAAGATGCTTGTTGCTGTGGTAACAGACAGATCAGATACGGTCCTGCAGCCCCTGTCCCCCACCCCCCAAGTTCAGTCTCATCAGCGTTGCGTTTGTTTTGTCTTGGTTCTTCATCCTCTTTCCCAGCAGTGTTTAGAAGCCTCAGGCTCCTAACTTAGCCTCCTTTCTCTCTGCCTGTTACTCCTTCACTGTCTGTTAACATCCTGTCACTGTACCAAGCATGAACCACACGGCTCCGATCATCGCTGTAGTCAGACAGTCAGTGGTGTACAGGGGACAGCTGACAAGCATGCCAGTTTTCCAGAATATATTGCTAAAACTAAGCTTCACAAAACGGATGTGCTGAAGTTGACTTTGTTACATTTTCTTAGACAGAAAATTTATTAAAGTGGTCAAGCTGTTTGAAAATGAAGTGCTTTTAGTGTGTTGAATATACTGCTGAATATGTTACAGTGTTTCCTTTGTTTTTCCACTAAGAAGAAAAAGATAAAGCAGTTTAGGTGTAGCCAGTATTTGTGGAGGTCGTTATGACAACAGTCTTATACAAAAAAAGCCAGGTTATTTTAAAAATAGTACCATGCTATGTGTTATTATGGTATGTGGCTAAAATACCCTGGAAGTTAGAAACACTGACAGAAGACTAATTTCTGCAAAAGTGAGTATACCGAACATTGGTATGTAAGCATGCAGTCACTAGAAGTTGGATGGTGCCTTCGGTGTTTAGACTTCCTAGGGAAGGATATAAGTAGGGAAGGGAATTGATAAGAATTTAGCGATTCTGATTCTATCAACATCAGTTATTGATTCTATTCTTTATGGATTGTTTTACTGATTCTCACTGGGTTCTCGTTGGCTCTGCTTTGAGAGTTACAACCATCACTAAGCAGCATATCAAAGAGATTACATTCATTAAATTATGCTGTGTAGGCAAATGTCTGTACATGTTGGAGGTATTTCCTCTCTTTGTTGTGATCAGTGTTGGGGTGGTTACTCAGAAAAAGTAATGAATTACAAATACGACACAGAACACTTTTCTTTAAAGTAATGCTGTACGTTGCTTAATTACTCAAAGGAGAAAGTCATTTGTTACACTGTTTGTTA